CGCCCCGAAGGCGCTTGGCAGGAAGGACCTGCCCAGCAACGAGCGCAGCACTCTCCTCGCCTTCCTCACCCAGTCCATCTGGACCCTCGGTCGCCTACTCCAGATTTTGTAATAAAGGGAGGGGGTTCTCATTTCGGGGGGGGGGTCTCTTCCAGGCTATCTTGGAGGGCCTGGGGGGGTCTGGGGAGGATGTTTTGGAGGGTTCTCCCACGGGGGAGGTCTGAAATGGCTTGTCTTGGAGGGTCCAGACCCCCTCCCTTTTATTACGAAATCTGGAGTAGACAAGCAGGTTATGACACCCCCACCCAGTGCACATGTGGTGCCCCGAAGGATGAGATGACCTCGGGCATAGGCTCCTGGAATGCAGCGCGTCACCCGCCCTTCGAGACGAGCATCTGGAACCTGACGACCTGAACGCTCGGAGTCGCCCTGGGGCCTTCGCCGAAGGTGCTGGTTTTCCTGAGCCTCTCCCTTTCAAGGTTGCCAGGCCTCCTGGTCTTGGTCTCGGCTTTTCCGAGTTTTGGTCCGCCGAGGGCCTTTCGCCCAAATAAGCCTTTCAGGGGGAGGTGTAGGTGGATTGCGATGTAACCAAGAATGGCCATCCTTGGTTCCACGCTCCTGGATGGACCCTGGTAAAGTTGGGGCCCGGCGGTTTTCTCTCGGCCTACATGTGTGGGCCTGTGGGGAGCGGCCCCCCCCGACCTCGCCAGCAGCTGAGTTTGTAGCGTGCCTCGCAGCAAGCAAGTCCAGAAGCATCACGAAAATACAGTCGGATTTCAAGGGAGAAGTAGACTTCCACAACGCGCCCCGTTTTGCCAGTAAGACGAATCTGATTGATGGTTCAGGCTCCCTGGCTAAATAGGGTGAAGCCTGTCGTGACGGAGGTTTCAGAGTAGATAAAGTCAAAGCCCACCAGAAAGTCAACGAACTCGAGCCCATTTCGGACCGCTGGTGGCATGCCACAGGGAATTCAGAAGCCGACCGCGTGGCCCAGATGGCTGCTAATCGGCTCCCCCAGCCCTCCGAGCAAGAGCGAACTGAATCCGCGGAGATCGTCCTCATAATGAAGCGTTTCCCGGAGTGTGTTCCCGAGGCCCTCTCCCCCAGGGTGGGGGGGGTAGAGGGCTGGAGGCCTCAGCCCGCGCCACCAACCCGCGGTTAGAGCAGCTTCCAAGCTTCCATCTCGGAATCGTGGCAAAGCAGAGCCATGTCGCGCGGGGGCCCTACCGGGCCTTGGGCTTCGGCCGCCCATCCTCCCCCTCGGGCTCCTCGGACCGCCCGTGCTGCCCACGTCTGGCGTCGCCAGAAAAAGCCGATGGCTCTGCATGGTCTGCCACTCGAGATGCATCAAGGAGGACCCCTTTAAGGCACGAGGGCACGAGCAGTGCCCAGGCAACGCGGCAGGCTTGGCCAATCTTGCCATCCAGCCCAATGGACACCATATTTTCGTTCTTGATAAGATTGAGGACGATTCCTTCGCCCTCGTTTGCAAGCAGTGCGGCAAGTACACCGAGTGTACGTTGAAGAGCCTCCACCAGCGATGCCTCAACCAATTCAACTCCACCTTCAGCCAACGTGCGTGGCAAGCTTTGTGTGAAAGGAGGCACCCAAAGGCCCCAAGAGGAGCCAAGTGCTTTTCAAAGCCCCATTCCAATGGCTATGGCTTGCCCAAGTGCAGTCTCGCAAGCGCCCGAGCCGCCATAGCGCGCGGAGTCGAACCCTTCATGAAGCCATGCGATGGTCCTCGTCCTCCTCTTCCTCCTCCTGCTACTCCCCCTCTTCCTCCAATATTGTGTCCAAGGATCCTCCTCCATCCCTTTCTCCTTGTAATTGTACTCGTGCTTCTCGTCCTCGCCCCCGTCCTTCTCCATGTCCTCCTCCTCCTCGCCTTTGTGTTCGTCGTCCTCGTTGTCGTCCTCCTTGTCGTGGTCCTCCACCTCGTCAATTCTTCTCGTCCTCCTCCTCCTCCTCCCTTTCTTCCTCCTCCTCCTCCTCCTCCTCCTTGTCCTCGTCCTCGCCCTCCTCTTCGTCGTCGTCCTCTTCGTCCTTGCCCCCCCCCCTTAATCATCGATATCCTCGTCCTCCTCGTCCTCGCCCTTCTCGTCGTCCTCCCCGTCCAGTCCGGATATCCCGGCGGTCCCAAGCGGTTTCGGGGGCTCCCCGCGTGGTCTTTCCGGGGGCCAAGAGCGCGCTGCTCGGGAAATGCATGAGATGGCCCCGAAGACCGTCCTGGAGCTCTCTTGGGCGCCTCCTTGGCCGTCTTGAAAGCCCTGGATGGCGGCCCAAGGAGCGCCAAAGATCGCCCAAAATCTGCTCAAGAGCCCGACACTGACGACGCCAACGACAACGACAACGCCGACGCCGGCGCTACTGGGCCAACTGTTCCGGCGGTTCAGATCGGGCCCTGAGGGATGAGGCCCTGAGAATGGGAAGTGTATTACAAGCTTAACCTTCACTCTCTGAGGTTCTCGTCCTCATCGGGCCTCCCCCTCTGCGGTCGACCTGAATCCCCGATGACTCACCACTCTGGTCCTCCTCCGAAGTGTTTCGTTCCTGGGCCATAACTCAAGTCTGCGGCGGCCGTTCTGGATGATCCGGGCACCCCCTGAACGCTCTCAGCGAGGCGGAGCTGCTGGAAGGCACCCCGAGACTAGAAAATCGCCGACATGGCCCCATCTCTGAGTCGCCGGAGATGTTTTTCAATTATTTCGGGTGGCGGTCGTTACCGGGGATGGTTGGGGTGGGCTTGGGGGGTTTGGGGCCCCAGGTAACAATAACGCTTGGGCGGGGTAGGGCACGTCGGGGCAGGGGTGCGCTACGATCGCCATCGTATGTGTACGAACACCAGCATGTGGGGGGGGGGGGGCCCAAGCCCCCCACCCTTACGAACCATCGCTACCATCACCCTGGTGGGGAGGGGTTTCCTTCAAATCGGTCGTTGCAACAAAGAGAGCAGCACCGTGAAAAATCAACGATCGGAGCCGTAGACACCATCTTTCTTTCTGCGCCATTTTTCGAGCCTGATCGATCTTTGAGGGCCCCGGGGCCCGAAACTGGGCGAAAACGCCCGTTGTGAAAAAATGGCAACGCCAAGATCTCAGGGCTGGCCCGGATACCGACGTTCTGCGACAGAAGATCAAATCCATCTTCCGAGCTCGAGGCCGAACCTGGGAGCGCGAGCCGCTGCTATCGCTCCGCGTTCAGCGATCCAGGGTCCCCAGTGTGCCCGCACCAAAGGTCACTCCGTCGAAAGGTCCCTCTCACGCGTGGCCGACAACGTTGCCCCTGAGCCATGACGGCGCCGCTGGGCGAGCGCGCGCGAGCGCGCTTCGAGACGGGCCACTGCCCGGTCCCCGAGCTTTCGGGCCGCGTGGGCGGGCCGCCGACGTCAACGACCTCGGCGACTGCGACGGCGACGCCGCCGCCGACGACGACTGAGGGGCATCGAGCCGCCGCCGACGACGACTGAGGGGCATCGAGAGGGGGGGCCGGCTCAGGGGGGGAAGCATCGAGCTTCGGCGGCGAGCCCGGGAGGAAAGTAGGAAGGATAAGGCCTTCTCAGAAGGCTCGGAAGTCCCCCGGCCTCTTGAGACGTTTTTGAAGCCTTTCCCGAAGACGCAGAAAACGTCGGGAGGGCTTGCGAGAAGGCCCGCCACCTTCTGAGAAGGCCATCTCCTTCTTGATTCCCCCCCTCGTTCGCCTCCAGAATAGGGGGGCTCAGAGGGTGGAAGCATCAACAGGAGAGCCCAGAATCGAGTCGACAAGTCGGATCGGAAGTCGACATGAATCGGATCGGCGGAAATCGGCAGCCGAATCGGAAAACGTCGAATCGGCGGAAATCGGCAAGCCAGTGTGCGTCCAATAAAAAACCGGAACCCAAGTCGGAATCCAAAGTCGAATCGAATCGACATCGGAATCCACCGAAATCGAATCGAATCGGCGGCACCGAAACGAGCCCTGCATCAAGCTGACATCGGGTCATCGGGCGGGTCTGGGCCATCGGCCCCCCGTCGGCGATGAATGGGCGATCGGAGGCCGATGCGCTCACCCCCGAGCCAACCCCCTGGTGTTTTTTCCAGGCCGCAACTCGGGCACCCAACGGCCGCTCGGAGCGATCCGGAACCCCCCAGAACGCCCTCGGCGAGGTATGTTTGCTGGAAGTCATCCCGAGGCCGAAAAGCGGACCAAAACTGATGAGCACGTTCCCAAACCAACAACAACGTGCGATCACGAACGTCCTGCGCTCAAACATCCCCCCAACGCTGCCTCTGAACGACGCCACCAGGTCGAGCGATCCCCCCACCAACTAGAAGCCTCCTAGATGGGGTCCGAGTAGATGGGGTCGGAGAATCGCGCCGCATCGCCGCTGCATCAGCGCCGTCGGCGTGGAGAAAATCGAGCTCCACTTCGAGCCGCATCGGTGATGCAGCGCGATCCTCCGACCACATCTGCCGTGGGACCCAAGCTAGAAGAACGTCCCTCAAGAACATGCGACCCTCCGCTGGCCAAAACACACAGAACATCCAAGGATACCCCTCGCAGGGTGCACAAAAACGTCCAACAAGCACGAAACACGAAGACCGCCAGGGTACCCTCCCCGAACCGACCCCGCCCTTATACTTTGGTCTGGCTCCACTCCGACCCCATCTAGGAACACTTCTCGACTGCACGCCACAGTGACCCTGGGCAAGAGTGACCTTCGGTACGCGGCTTCTTGGGGGCCGCGGGGGGGCCAACCCCAAAAGCGCGCACGACGCTGCTACCGCATCGCGTTCAGCAATCGGGGGACCTCTTCGGGGCCCGCACCAAAGATCCCTTCGGCGCAAGGTCCCTCCCACGTGTGGTCGAACGTTGCCCCTGGGCCATGACGACGCCGCCGGGCCACACGTCTCTTCCCCCCCTGGCGAGCGCGCGCGAGCGCGCTCCGAGACGGGCCACTGTCCGGCCCCCGAGCTGCCCGGCCGCGCGGGCGGGCCGCCGACGCCGACGCCGCCGACCTCTTCTTTCCTCTCCGGCGAACGCGAACCCGGGCGCGCTCCGAGGCGGGCCGCCGCTCGGCCCTAAGCTTTCGGGCCGCGCGGGCGGGCCGCCCGTGGGGCGAGGGGCTCTTCGGGCGCCGCCCGCCGCGAGGGGCGCTTTTTCCCCCGCGGCGGGCGGCGCCCGCCGATGCGCCGCTGGCCTCCGATTGGGGGGTCGACTGCAGATTTGACTTGCCCCAGAAGGGGGACTTTTCGTCGAATCTGGAACCTGCACAGATCTGTCGAAGACTCCACGTATTTTGGTGTAGACTCGGCGAACAGATCAATTTGGGGTACATCGATTCTGTAGTCGACCCCTTATCGAGGCCTGCCCCAGAGCCCCGGCCTTCTGAGAAGCCGTCTCTGTCTTCGGAGAGGGGTTGCGTTGATGACAATTATCTTTCCTCGAGGGTTGCTGTCAAGACTCCTTGTCCCGCCAGGGCCTCCTGGCATGGGCCTTGGACGTCATCCTCTTCATCTCCCTCTCTTCCTTTCCCTCCTCTTGTGGGCGAATCGCATATCCGTACCCGCGGCCTCGCGGGCCAGGACCCTCGGCCGCGACCCCACGAATGCAAGGCTTTCGTCGCGGATTCCCCGCGCGGAGCATATCCGTGCGACCACGTATCCACGGGATCGCGCCCCGGGATACAGACCGCGATGGAGCAGATACATGTGTTCGCCCCTCATGACCTCTCCCAGAACTCTGGCCTTCTGCGAACCCGTTTCTGCCTTCGGAGAAGGCCCAGAGAACTTGTCAAAGGCCGGAGGGCTCCTGAGAAGCTCCGCCGCCTTCTGCCAAAGCCTGCCCCCTCTCAATTCCCTCCCTGGGCTCGCCGCAGGTCAAGGAGACCCAAATCATCAGCAACACGACGGACTTCGGGCGCGCCAAACTTCGGTCGCGACCGGGGGTCGAATTTCGGCACCGAGGCACCGAACAGACCGCCTAGCGGCCCGGGTCCAACGTCGACACGCTTGTTACCGAGATTCGCGACCAGAAGCTGAACTTCGGTCGCGACTGGCTCGTGCAGAGCGTTACAGGAAACTTTCGGTAACCGATCATCTGGGGATGTCAGGCCCAGATCATGGCCTAAGACGGCCAGCAGGCCCCAAGACGCCTCCAAAAGCTCACAAGAGCCGCCGAGGGGCCCCGAACACGCCCATTCCTCTCTCCCCCTCTTCCCTGTCCTCCCCCACGTGTTCTCCGAAGGCTTTCCAAACCGATTCGTTTCTTTTGTGTGTTGGGCGTTTTTTTGTTTCATAATCTCGGCCTTGAGAGCCCGTTCTCGGGCCCCGGGACCGTGCACAATGAATACGTAACAAAGGGATCCAGACCCAGGCACCACCAGAGCTTCGGCGCTCTGAAGATGTCAGGGTGGTCAGCTCGCAGCTTCGATGCTCCGAGGCTTTCGGGCGATTTCGTTGGTTCTCGGAGTCTTTCCAGCCTCGGGAAGGGGTGAATGGGGGGAGGGAGGGGGTAGGGGGCGGAGAATGAGCACGAGGAGGGGGGCGAGGAGGATGGAGAAGCAGGGGGATGGTGAGGAGGGAGATGGACCTTGCCCAAGGTGGCCCCAGCTGTCCAGGGAAAACGCAGACGACGCCCGGAGCAACCCTCACGAGGCCCAGAGGGACCCAGAGGCCCCCCCAAACGGTGCGAAAGGCTGGGAGCACTTTGGGCCAGGAAGACTTCTGGCGATCCTCGGCGACGGGTGTAGAGGCCCTCCCGGATGAGGTCCGAGTAAATGGGGTCGGAGGATCACGCCGCATCGCCGACGTCGGCGTGAAGCGAAGCGGGCTCCACGTCGAAGCGCATTGGCGATGCATCGACGATGCGGCGCGATCCTCCGACCCCATCTACTCGGACCCCATCCAGGAGGCCTAGAGGGTGTGCACTGCGCTTGCGCCCGAAAAAACAGCCTGGGACTCCCGATGCCGGCCGGGGCCTCCGTGGGGCCCCGTCTGGGGCCCACACACGTCGGCGCGCGGCGCCGCACTCGTCTCGGGGTGGGGGCGGAGCCGCGCGGATCTCGCGCGCGCGGGGCAGCTTGCAGGAGGTCGGGGCTCTGGGCCTCTCCCGCGGCTTGCTCTGCGAGACGGCGGCCACATTGTCTGCGCCTATGCCGCCCTCCCTCGCGCCGATTCCGCGAGGGAGCTAACAATGAACCGAGGAGACTGGAAGTATCCACCAGCACCAATCCTCAACGCGCCCATTTCGGGCCCAGACCTTGATGGATGCGGCCTCCTTGCCTGGGCGCCATTCCAGCGCCGTGCCCGCCACAACGCTGGAATGGTATGGCGACTTTGGATTGTCTGCTGGGGCTTCTGTAGCTTTCTAGGGCCAGCCCCCTCTTGTCCCGAGCACCATCCCTGTCGAAACCAATGCATGGTGATTGCGGGTGCACGCGCACGCACAAACACGCAGACACACAAACACACAAACACACACACAAAAGCACAAACGCACAAAGACACAAGCCGACAAACGCACAACCACACAAACTTATTCCCAACCGTTTTTGGTGGGGTATTCGTCTTGAATGGAACACTGCTCGCGCGTCCTTCTTCCGCCTCCCGCATCCTCCTGCCCTCTCTTCGCCGTCGATGGGGGCTGCGATCTGTGAAACTGCCGCCACTTTCGAGGGCTGCTGGTGGGTCCAGCGGAGTGAGGCACCGCGCAAATCCGAACGGGACCTCGCCGTCCCTGCGGGACTGCGATCTGCGAAACTGTCGCCACTATCGAAGGCTGCTGGTGGGGCAAGCATAACGATCTGCGATACTGTCACCACTTTCGAAGGCTGCTGGTGGGTCCAGCGGGGTGAGGCACCGAGCAGACCTGAGCGGGACCTCGCCGTCCTTGGGGGGCTGCGAACTTCGCAACCGTCGCCACTGTCGAGGGCTGCTGGTGGGTCCAGCGGAATGAGGCACCGCGCAGATCTGAGAGGGACCTGGCCATCCCTGGGGGGCTGCGATCTTCGAAACCGTCGCCGCTTTCGAGGGCTGCTGGTGGGTCCAGCGGAGTGAGGCACCGCGCAGATCAGAGAGGGGCCTCGCCGTCCCTGGGGGGGTGCAATCTGCGAAGCCGTCGCCACTTTCGAGGGCTGCTGGTGGGCCCATGGGCACCGCGCACACCTGAGCGGGGCCTCGCCGTCTCTTGGGGGGCTGCGATCTGTGAAACCGTCGCCACTTTCGAGGGTTGCTGATGGGTCCAGCGGAGTGAGGCACCACCAGATCTGAGCGGGACCTCTGCGACACCGTCGCCACTTTCGAGGGCTGTTGGTTGGTCCAGCGGAGTGAGGCACCGCGCAGATCCGAACGGGACCTCGCCGTCCCTGGGGGCCTGGGGGGCTGCGATCCGTGAAACTGTCGCCACATTCGAGGGCTGCTGGTGGGTCCAGCGGAGTGAGGCACCGCGCAAGCCTCAGCGGGTCCTCGCCGTCCCTGGGGGGCTGCGATCTGCGAAACCGTCGCCACTGTCGAGGGCTGCTGGTGGGTCCAGCGGAGCGAAGCACCGCGCAAATCTGAGCGGGACCTCGCCGTCCCTGGGGGGCTGCGATCTGCGAAACGGTCGCCATTTTTGAAGGCTGCTGGTGGGGCCAGCATAGCGATCTGCGATATTTTCACCACTTTCGAAATCAGGTGTTGGGCCCAGCGAGGTGAGGCACCGAACAAACCTGAGCGGGATCTCGCCGACCCTGGGGGGCTGCGAACTTCGAAACCTTCGCCACTTTCGAGGGCTGCTGGTGGGTCCAGCGGAGTGAAGCACCGCGCAGATCTGAGCGGGACCTCGCCGTCCCTGGGGGGGGTGCGATCTGCGAAGCCGTCGCTACTTTCGAGGGTTGCTGATGGGTCCAGCAGAGTGAGGCACCATGCAGATTTGAGCGGGAGTTTGCAATCCTTGGGAGGCTGCGAACCTCACGAATGCATATCGCAGAAATATATACGCCCATGTCACGTCGTCACCTCCGTGTAGCGTCTCCCAAGCTACTCATGCCCCGCTTCGCGTATGGGTTGGGTCCGTCGCCAGGGTAATTTTCGTCGGCGGTTCGGCAGGGGTCGTCTGCGCTGGCGGATGGCCAACTAAACGGGGGACCGTTGTATCGAACTGGCCAGTATGCAAGAGAGGGGAAACGGGACAGAGCGGGCGTCCGCAGAGGGGTGGGCAAGGGAGGGCCATGCAGAGGGGGCAGATCTCACATCCCTGGGTGGGCTGGCGCGGCCAGCCCCGCCAGCGGGGACAGGGGCGGCTTCTGCGCCGGTGCACCAGCGGAGGCGGGGCCCAGCGCGTGTACTGCCAGTAAACGAAACAGCGGGTCGCCGACGTAGAGCACGAGGTGCAGGACCGGCGGGCCGCGCGCCGCCCAGGTGGGGGCGCACGACAATGTGCGGCAAGTGAAAAAACATCCAAGTTGGACCGCGTCCAACAAAATTCTGGTTCAGGGTGGGGGAACATGCGACAGGCAGGATCCCAGGATCCCGAAGGCATGGCGGCTACAGGCGGCGGCCCAGGCGCCGTGGCGGCGCGCGGACTGAGGTGGGCGGCCCCACTGCCCGGGTGGAAAGGTTGGGCTAAGGGGAGGGCCAGGGCGGCCGGTCGCCGCTGGTGTGGGCAGCGAACGGCGCTCTGTGGCCAGTCGCAACTGTGGCTGAAGCCTGCGGCCCCAGCTGCCCGGGTGGACAAAAGGGGCCTAATCGGTGCAGGGGCCTATAATCGGTGCAGGAAAGTGTGGTGCTGTATCACTGTATCCTGCAAGTGGGAGCGCAGGGGGGACGAGGCGTGGCGGAGGAAACAGCAGAGGAAACCGGCGTCGTGCCGGCTGGGGTCGCGGGCGCCGCCGCCACGCAGGGCGCAATGTCTGCTCCAGGCCGCTCAGGGTTCACCGCCTGTTCCCTGCGTCCTCCTGACCCTGGCCGCCAGGGCTTCTTTCGAGTTGAGGAAGTCGAGAAGGACGCGTGCTGGGACATCGTCACGGCGCGCGAGCCCCCTGCCTTGATTTCTGTAGTCCGAGGTGAACGAATCCCAGAGGGCGCGGGTGTCCGGCAAAACGGCCCCGGTGTCCTCAACGAGGAGCAGGAGCTCACGCCCTGCAGGCGGAGGTGTCTCCCCTCGCAGACTGGCGCTTGGGCAGCCCTCGGCGCTGGTGCCGCCAGTATCCGTCGTTGCTGGGGAAGAGCGACGGGCGTCAGGGGCGGGCGGTGGGTTCCCGTGCTGATTCTTGTCGGCGGCGACCCAATCGCCGGCAACTTACCGTCGTTGGTCCGGCGAGCTGCAAGGACGGTCGCCGCGCGCCGCCCCGACTGGATTGTGCTGCTGGGTTCCGCTGCCCACGATTGTTCTGCTGGGTTCCACTTTCCGACCGTGGCGACGAGCGACATCCGTGACGCGCGTCGGCGACGGGGTCGGCGTCGGCGTCGTCGTCAAGGCCGGCGCCGGCGTCAGCGTCGGCGTCAACGTCGGCGTGGGCGTCGTCGTCATCGTCGTCGTCGTCGTCGGCGTCGGCGTCGTCGTCGGGGCCGGCGCAGGCGTCGGCATCGGCGTCAGATTCGGCGCGGGCGTCGTCGTCGTAGCCGCCGTCGGCGTCGGTGTCGGTGCATAGGCGTCAGCGTCGTCGTCTTGGACCAGGGCCGGCGCGGGGCCGCCTACATGGGCACCATTTCCGCCCCTCGGAGGACGAGGGCCGTCCGATCCGCTGTCGAGGGAGGGGCGGGCGGGAGCGAAGGGGCCTCTGCTGACCAAGCCGTTAAATCCGCTTCTGTCCGCCCTTCTGGCCACCTCCTCCCGGGGCAGCGGTGCGGCGCTGACCTGTGGGCCCAACTCCCCGGCTAGCGGGCGGAGCGGCAGCCCGAGGCCCTCCACGCCATGGCGGCCGCGCGACCCGTCGGGGTGCCTTGCCAACGGGGCCTCTTGGCAGACGGCTGCGTCAAGGAAGAATGCATGTACCTGGCCACCCGTGTCCAGCCCCCGATCCCAAGAGCCACGGGGCGAAGAAGTGGGACGTCTGCGGTCGACCCAACGGGATCGGTCGTCCCCGCCGTCATGTCCCACTGCCTGGTTCCGTGCGCTGCTTGGGCGTCTGGCTGACGCTGCGCGCCGCCTTCGCTGGTGAGCCTGGGGTCGCCGGGAATAGGGCCCGAACCCGCGGGCGCCTCGCGCGCTGGCTGAACCGCACTGCTCGCGCCAGCCCCGTGCTTGGGGGCGCCGTTGCTCGCAGCAACTTCCTGTTCGGCGCCCTCGCTGGGTCCGCTTCTGGGTGATCCGGGCCGCGGTGAGGTCCTGCCGGTTGCCCCGTTCCTTTCAGCGGTGTCAGGTCTGGGTCCAAGGCCCGCTCCTCCGCGATGCTGCTCCCGAGGCTGTGGCTGGGGCTCGTCGCGCTGTTTGCAATTGTGCTGCTGGGTTCCACTTTCCGGCCGCGGCGACGAGGGATGCAGGGCTCTCACCTTCCTCCGCCCTGCGTTTTCCCACGCCCCGAAAAGTCCAGCCGTGGCGACGAGAAAGCGAGCGCAGCGCGCCTAATCGGTGCAGGATCGGCGGAGTGGGGCCAGGCCCTCCCTGTATACGTCGCCACGCCCAGGGTGGGGTGATCCGAGTCGCGCGGAGGGCGTCCATGGCGCCCGTCCCCGCCCACCCCCCCTTGCGCCCTGGGTCCAGGATCGCACCTGACCGGTGCGAGAACAGTGAGATGGGGCTGACCCCTCTTTGCGTATGTCGTCGAACCCAGGGTAAGGTGCTCCGTGTCGCGCGGAGAGCGTGGTGCTCGTCGCCACCTCCCCCCGCCTCCCTTCCGGGTCAGGGGGCGCAGCTAATCGGCGCGAGGTCGACGGATGGGGGCTGCGCCCTCCCTGCAGGCGTCGTCGCGCCCAAGGTAAGGTGCTCCGTGCGGCGCGGAGGGCCTCCGTGGCGTCCGTCTCCGCCTCCGCCCTCGGTCCGGGAGAGCGCCTAATCGGTGCGGGAACAGTACGATGGGGGCGGGCCCTCCCTGTAGACATCGTCGCACCCAATGTAAGGTGCTCCGTGTCGCACGGAGGGCGTCCGTAGTGCTCGTCGCCTCCTCCTCCCACCTCCCTTCCGGGTCTGGGGGCGCACCAAAATCGGTGCAAGGCCTGCGGATTGGGGCTGTGCCCTCCCCGCAGGCATCGTCGCGCCCAAAATCAGCTGCTCCGTGCGGCACGGAGGG